GGGTGAGGACTTATTGTTGTTGTTATCATTTGTTAATCAATTTTTGATTTATAAACCGTTATCTCAAATACAATTGTTTGCCGACTTCAAAAGAAAACAAATTTCCAATTATAAAGGTTTCAACTTCACAATTTTCTCTACTAAAATTAGATTACTCACCAACTCTCGTAGTTGACCTGTTTTTACCCATGATGCAGATTTGAAGAATGAAGTTGATGAAAAATAGGTTGTGCCTTAGAAATCCACAAGACTATTTAAATTTGATGTAATAAATGTTGTTCGTATTTGGATTTGTATTTGTATGTTGTGGATCTTGTTTGCATACTTAGTACTTAATTGAATCTAATCATATTATAACATAGTTGTCATGAGACTTTGAACAATATATCACGCCTCGATCGATTCCGACAAGGATCGGGGTGTGACATTGAGAGAGAAAGGAGAGTAGATCAAGAGGAGAGGAAGGAGGCCAGGCATCTTGGTGTTATTTCAGAGATTTCCTTAAGGTATAACTCAGTTTCCCTCTGTTCTCATGCTTATAGTCCCTTAGAGCTCCATTAAAGTCCTTCTTGAGCCATTTCCAAGCTTGGGTATGAACTAGGGTCTGTGATAAGCCGATCAACCTTTAGATCTAGGCATGATTGAGCTCTAGGAGCTCAGATCCACTGCCTTTATGAAGCCATATTGCATGAAAGCCCTAGATCTACTCTTTTAGTGCATTTTGAGCCCTAAAACCTTCATTGGTGTTTATTTACACGTAAAGTTGGAAACTTTACGTGTTAATCAAGCCCTAGGAACCTAGATCTACGTATGGAATGAGCTGGATCCAAGCAAAATCGAGTATATATTAGTGGCATGTGGCCGACTCGGCGAGTCGTTCATCGGACTCGGCGAGTCGAGTCGCGAGTCCTCGAGTTTTCCCCTTTTCGTGTTGCTGAGTGGAGTCGTGAGTCATGGGGGGGGGGGGGTGACTCAGTGAGTCGGAAGCCAGACTCACTCATGGAGGAACTCGGCGAGTCAATGCCCTGACTCGGCGAGCCTCAAGAACAGACTCGGCGAGTTGTTCATACAACTCGGCGAGTAGGATGAAGGACTAGTGGTCAGCGGTTTAGAAGGGAACTCGTCGAGTCAATGCCTAACTCGACGAGTAGAGACGAGATTATGGTCAATCGAGTGGATAGGGACTCGGCGAGTTGGCAAGCCAACTCGGCGAGTCGGGTCAACTGGAAGTTGACTTTGATTTTGACTCTTGGTTTAGTTAGGGGTAAATGGTCATTTTACCCTGAGGGCGGTTAACAGTATTTGACTGAGTGTTTTTGTGGGAATTATAGCCGGAGGATTTCCGGAGCAGCAGCAGCAGAAGTCAGTCAGTTCCCACGCAGATTAGCAGCCACTTTGAGGTGAGTTACCTTCCAGTAGCGGTGGGTCTACGGCCACAATGTCGGCCCACCAGTAGGAGTTGCATGATAGATGATTGTCTCTGTGATATTCATCTAGGGTTGTTACTACCTGTGATATGTTTATGTGCTAAAAATGACATGATGCTATGTACTAGTGACTGTAGGGGGAGATAGTCCCCAGATTACCGGCCAATAGGGTCGAAGGGGCGGTCGTGCCCAGCCATGCTAGATAGATTATGTGATAAATGTGTTATGTGGTAGTAGTAAGGGGGTGAAATAGTCCCCAGTACCCGTCGAGAGGACCGAAGGGGAGACCAGCACCCAGATATGCTAGTCAGTACCCGGTCGAGAGGACCGAAGGGGAGGCCAGCTCCCAGATATGTTAGACAGTACCCGGTCGAGAGGACCGAAGGGGAGACCAGCACCCAGATATGCTAGTCAGAACCCGATCGAGAGGACCGAAGGGGAGGCCAGCTCCCAGATATGCTAGACAGTATCCGGTCGGGAGGACCGAAGGGGTAGGTCGGGCACCCAGATATGCCGGACAATATATGTATGTTATGTAACTGTATGGTAGGTGGTATGATGGGGGAACTCACTAAGCTTTGTGCTTACAGTTTATAGTTTTGTTTTCAGGTACCTCTTCGTCGAAGGGGAAAGAGCTGGCGCGGTAGCGGCACATCATACACACACATTGATTTCCGCATCATGAGTTATTCTGGGATTTGTACTCTGACATTATTATGTTTTTATAAAATGGTTTCCGGACACGCGACATTTTTATGAAATGATATGATCAGTGAATGTTTTATTTCTAATGTTTGCTAAGTATATGTTTCAAAAATGAAATTTTTTTGGCTCGTATTTTGGGATGTTACAATAACCCACCGAGCGTGCTGTTAGCCCACTGAGACTGTTGATAGTCTCCAGGGTTGCTGATAACGCACCGGGCATGCTGTTAGCCCACTGAGACTGTTGATAGTTTCCAAGGTTGCTGATAACCCACCGGGCGTGCTGTTAGCCCACTAGGACTGTTGATAGTCCCCAGGGTTGTTGATAACCCATAGCTCTTTATTTGTGTTGTGCTTACGATTTTTGGTTTTCATGTTTCAGGTTTTCTTATATTAAAGGAGTGGCACGGCTCGATTGCATCACATCAATGGGGGACTTGTGTACTTGATAACTTTTAATGATACTCTGATAAAAGTTTTAAGATCTTGCAGTTGTGAATTAAATAAATATTTAAAGTTTTAATTGAAAAAATTTGGGTTGAAATTTGGGGCGTTACAACAACACATCCTTATTCTTCAAATTTGTTAGAAGCAATTTTTAGGGCTTTCATGTAATATTGAGTTTAGAAAACATGATGCTTAGACAAAACATGGAGGTTGAGCAGTGGTAGGGACAGATGTGATTTATGGTTGTAGTAGCGGTTTTGATTTCTTGTTGTAGCAGATAGAAGGAAGAGCAAGCAATGGTGGAGGCGAAGTGTATTTCTGTTGTCGGTAAAAGCAAATAATATGGAAGGAGCAGAGTGGTTGCATGTGTAAGGTGTGTGTGTGTGCGCGCGCATTTTAATGGTGGAAATAAATAACAGAGGTTGTGGTGGATTTAGATAAGAAATTGATTGAATATAATTGAACTGTGTAAACATCTAGGTGTTGTGTGGTATGTTTCTTACTATGTTCTTGATTCTTCTTAATTAATTGTGTTGCTTTCATATGATTCTTGATCATCACATTTGGATGTAATCCACAGTTGATTGGTCTATAAGTTTTTCTTACTCTGTTTTATGTTCTTGATTCTTTTGTGATGCGATTCTGAATCACCATCCGATCTTTTACAACAAATCGGAGACAGGGGTAACCGAAGAGGGATGGGGTGACGGATACAACTTGGGATTTGATGAACAAGATGAAGATCTAACATGAGTGTTGATGAACATGATGTTAATCAAATCTGGGTTTGTTCTTGAAATCTAGGCTTAACAACACACACATTAACATGAAGACAGGGCCGGCCCAATAGGGTGGGCAAGGTGGGCGACGGCCCCGGGCCTCATTATGGTTTGGGGCCCCAAAAATAATTCTGTTTTATACCTAATATATATGTTTTGTGTTAAACAATTGCATATAATTTCACTAGATCAGTTGGTTAACCTTCTGGTAAAGATCGTAGATAGGTGCTCAGGTTCGATTCTCTTGCACTTTTTAAAACTAATAATAAATAATCAGCATTTGCTCTCTTTCTTAACTTGCGCCTCATTTTATTAAAATTGAATTCAAATTACAAAAATAGTCCATGCATTCTTCTTTGTTATTCATAGATCATCCAAGTTATTAATATGGTCCTTTTTTTTTGACAAACGACCCAAACATTTATTTCATTTACAATTTTGGTCTTTTTCTAGCCATTATCAAACATAATTTTCCGGCTAAGAGATTTTCTACATTTCATGGTATTTTAATATATAATTACTATTATTTGTATGTTTGTTAATAAAAATCATGCTAACATGTCAGTTAGGTAGGTCATTCTTCAAGTTATTTTAGAGTTTTCACCAAATGTGATTTTTTTTCCAAACACTATCTTTTTGTTTGTTTGGTTAGACACCAAAGTGACAGTTTTTCAAAATGGTTTGATTGTTCGCTTTTTTTTTTAATTATTATTTTGCTTTGTATTAGTTTTTTGTACTAACCTAGTGGTTTATTGGTTTTAATATTTAACTCGCATCCTTTTAACCCGTTTCAATTTTCTTTCATACTATATATATTTAATTTAATAACAAGTGCTTATGTATTTGTCTCCATATCATCATTGTATTATTGTTTGTCATTACTATTAATGTTAAGGGGGCCCATTTTTTGTTTATGTGATGAGCCTCAAATCGTCTTGGGACGGCCGAGAGAGAGAGAGAGAGAGAGAGAGAGAGAGAGAGAGAGAAGAGAAGAGAGAGAGAGAGAGAGAGAAGAGAGAGAGAGAGAGAGAGAGAGAGAGAGAGAGAGAGAGAGAGAGATGATTTCTTTTTAATATTTATTAAATATTTAAAAAAAATAAAACAAATCTTGTCAAAATCCAAAAAAGAAAAATTATGGTTTGGATCAAATCCCAAAAAAATACATATAGATATTTTTTTAGTTTTGTCTAAATTATATTAGAAAAAAAAAACAATGTACAAAGAAACATAATTTGTTATCAAGTCATTAATCTATCAGGTCATAAATCCATCAAAAAAGACCCAAAAAAAAGATTTTAATCATCATGGTTAATGGTATACATATAAAAAAAAATATATACACCAATACATCCATGAAAGAGAATTTATTATCTTATGAAGAAATGTCCATCGATAGTTTGGTTTTGTATCATAAATCAGCACGTGAAGTAAAAGGTATTATAGACAACTGAATTCTTTAAAACCAGTGGCTTTTGCCACCTGTTTTTTGCTGTTTCACTCTCTCTGTGTGCTTGGCATCTCTATTTATCCCCTACTTCTGGTTTTTCCATTCATCATCAATCACTTGTGCACCAAACATACTTCTTATTCAAACAAACACCTTCTTCGACTAAGTATTAAACATCTTACAACATCATTTAATTATGAGTTTCAGAAGCAGAACATGGATGGTAGCCGGAACTGTCGGAGTGGTGGAAGCCCTCAAAGATCAAGGCTTTGCACGATGGAACACCACCATCAGGGCAGTCCACCACCACGCCAAGTCCAATCTCCGATCAATCACCCAGGCCAAAACCTTGACTTCGCCGGCGGCCATGGCATCTAGCAGAGACATGGAAGAGAAAGCGAAACAATCAGAAGAAACATTGAGAAAAGTGATGTACTTGAGCTGTTGGGGTCCCAATTAATTATCCATTTGGTACATCATTAAGAAAGGTTATACGTGAGATTCTGGATCTAAATTCAAAGTGTCTGGAGAAACTTAAAACCAACAAGTCGGTGGAATCGCACATTAAAGAGCAGCCACCACCATGAGATCGACGTCCAAACTTGGGCTAAATTTGAGACCACATGGCCATTCGTTTGATGAGTTCGAGTTTGTATTAGTTAACAATTCTATGTAATGATCGAAACTCTGATGGAAAGGTTGATATCTTAATTGAGAATATATTGTTGAGATGTTTTTTTGAAGTAAACATTTACCGTCTTATCCGCAAGTACAAATGCACTAGTTTATCAATTATCATACCCGATAATTCTTTCATATTTATGATATCGGTACATACTCAATACTCAATTCAATTTGCATATGAAAGAAACCCTCATCTGCTAGACTAATCCATTATCATTTATCCATACTGGTTTAAGTAATCACGGGAATCCAACACGAAAAATAATCCATCGAAGAAATAGAAAAAACAGAAATTTATATTCGAAACAGATTTGAAGATTTGGACTATATATATTTTAGTAAAAAGGTTGTGTAATTAATCCACCACACCACATGAACATTGAAGAAAAGGATATCAAGCTACGTCGATATCAACCCACGTGTATTGAAAGGGACAGATGTAGAGTGGTGTGTATTCTGTACGACTGTACCCTATTAAAAAAAAAAAATACTTAACGTATTCAACGTGGCCCCAATACATGAAATTGAGAAACCTGTTGGCTACTTACTGGTTGCCATCGATCATGAGTCATCCATATTTTTATCATTCCAAGATGGCCAGATGAATTAATGCACCTCATGGAGTCACGTGCTCCCTCAAAACCACCTTATTTTAACCCTCAAACCACATTCCTGTGTACACTCCCACTCTATAAAAATATAAGCCTTCCCTCATCTCTTCATTTCATCAGAAAATCACAACACTACAAGTCTACACCTCACAACTAGGATTCCTAGTTTCTCTCTGATCACAAAATGACTTCTGTAAACCGTGTATGGATGGCTGCCGGCGTAGCTGTTGTAAATGGACATACAGATCAAGGCTACAAACTTAAATCCCTTCTCATCAACTCCTTCCGACATGCCAAGAAGGCTTTCACCTCCGATCTCCGTCCACTTTTCGGCCTTCTACGATCAGATGTCAGTGTCGGAGACAAGAAGACAACACAGTCCGATGAGTCTCTCCGGCAAGTGATGTACTTTAACTGCTGGGGCCAAAGCTGAAGATTGGTTTGTGTTGTGTGTTTGGGAGGCTTTCTCGACGGATGAGAATTAATCGATGATGCGAGTTAAGTTAACTCCTGGTTTGGGATTTGGGATTTGGGATTTTGGGAGTGAGTCGTAAAATGGATCATTTCCTGAGGAAGAAGCTTACAATTTGTAAATACCATTGTCTTTTGTAACCAAGACAATGTAAAAAATAATTTGAAATAAATGTTGCTTTTCGGAACTTGATATTTGTTTGTCCTGTGCTTATTAATTTTTATGATTGAACAAATTAAATCAAATTCCAGAAGTTCACATTGTAACTAAATTAAAGGAGATTAAAAAAAAATTACAATGATAAATCTATTTTTATCTAGAAAAAAAAGCCCAAATAGTTAAGGTTGCGTTTAGTTACGGAAAAACAGTTTTATTTTTCGTTTTTCGTTTTCTCATTTCAGTTTTCGTTTTTCATTTTCAGTTTTCATTGAAAAATTTAGAAAACGCGTTTAGTTAAAACTTATTCATTTTTCATTTTCAGTTTTAGAAAATTAGAAAACGCGTTTAGATGTGTATTTTTCGGTGTTGTAAAAATCGGCCTAGGCGGCCGATTAATCGGCGCCTAGACGCTAGGCGGTCGCCAACCGATTACGTTTATACCTAATCGGCCTATGTAATCGTTTTGGGTCAAAGTCGGTCAAAGCCGGACCTAATCGGAGCTAGGCGGAGTTGGGCGCCCTAATCGGTCAAAATACAGTCAATAGAATTCAAAATTTTCAGGGGCAAAATCGTCAAACCATTGTTAGGGTTCGTTTCTTCTTACTTATTCCATCTCAATCGCATTATCAATTTCACTGCTATCTCTCTCTCACACATCAAAAACGACGATTTCTTCTTCTTCTAAGCATTCCGTCTGTTCCAAGATCGTCGTTGCCTTCCAAGATCGTCATCGCATTCCAGTCATCTACAAGATTGCGTTGTCGCTCCTTCTCCTTCGGCATCCTCTGTCGTCGTTCCTTCCCCTTCGACATCCTCTGCTCCTCCAAAATCCCTCCGATGCCTTTAGCTCCTCTGTTCCCGATGATACCGCCGACCTATACAAAGTTCCCGACGATACCGAAAGCGCAAAGGTAATCATCCAAATGTTGAAATTCCCTGATTAGATCTTGAATTAAGCTTAGCTTTTCACTTGGGTTATGCTAATTTTGCATCTTATAGTCAATATATGTTCATATATTAGTTTATTTTTTTGATTGTTCTTGGTTATAGAAATGAATAAAGTGAAAGCTTCTTTGAATTTTGTCATCGTTGATGATTCTTGTTATTAAAGTGTGAAAGCTTCTTTGAATTTTACAGTTTTTGATTGTTTTTGGTTCTGCTAATTTATGTTAAATTAATATGAAGTATATACAGAGCCTGTTGATTTGTGATGATATTAGATGAAGTGATGATAAATTGATATGAATATGCTGTTAATGTGATGATATACTTAATTTTTCTGTTAAAATGATATGTGAGTGAGTATATTTAATGTGGTAATGTGATTTTTTAATGTGTTAAACTGATATGAATATGGTGTTAATGTGATGATATATTAGATGAAGTGATGATAAACTGATATGACACAGAGCATGTTGATTTGAGTGATCAATTTTAATGTGTTAATGTGAGTTTTTTTATAACAGTTGATGAAGCTCTTGCAACCGATGTTAGTTAAGCACCCCGAGAAAGTCCAAAAACGAGGGAACTTTCAATGAAGATTTCGAGTCCGAAAGTGAGGAGCAAGTGTTAGAAGAAGATGAATATGAGTCAGATGGGGTTCAAATAATGGAAGTATGTGGAGAATATTAGAAGAAAATTGTTGTGCTTGTTAAACTCACTATTAAACTTTTATGGACTTGTTGGATGATGATTTTGTGTGCTTGTTAAACTTATTATTAAACTTTTATGCTTATTTTGGATGATAAATGGCTGTGCTTGTTAAACTTATTAAGTTATTATTAAACTTTTATGCTTATTTACTTATATTCTTAGTATTAAAGTTAGATTTATAAATTTTTGAATTGTTTTTTGTAATAATTAATGGTCCCCGATTAATCCTCGTCTAACCGATTAATCCCCAGACCCCAGTCCACCGCCTAGCTAACGTCTAGCGTTTTCTGCAACCTTGGTATATTTATATCAGTTTTCATTTTTAGAAAACGGTAGCTGTGGTAGGGTGGGGGTGGGGGCAACGACGGGGGGCAGTGGTGGTGTCGATGATGAAGACGGTGGTGGTGGTGGTGGCGGCAGTGGGATGGCAGCTGTGGTGGCGGCGGCGGAAATTGTGGCAGTGGTGGTGATGGCGGCGACAGTGATGTTGCTGGTGATGGGGTAGTTGTGGTGGTGATGGTAGGCTGGTGATTGTGGTAGTGGTGTTGGGTGGGTGGGTGGGTGTGTGTCTAGGTGTGTGCGTGTGTGTATTTGTGGGGGTGGAGGTGGGGGTGGTTGTGTGTGTGTGTGTGTGTGTGTTTGTGGGTGGGGGTGGGGGTGGGGGTGAGTGTGTGTGTTTGTGGGGGTGGGTGTGTGTATGTGTGTTTGTCGAGGTGATGGGTGTGTGTGTGTAGGTGTGTGTGTATTTGTGGGGGTGGAGGTGGGGGTGGGTGTGTATGTTTGTGGGGGTGGGTGTATGTGTATGTGTATTTGTATGGGTGGGGGTGGGGATGGGTGTGGGTGTGTGTGTGTGTGTTTGTGGGTTTGTGTGTGTGTATGTGTGTTTGTATGAATGGGGTGGGGATGTGTGTGTGTATGTTGGAGTGGGCTTGGGAGTGGGTGTGTGTGTGTGTGTTTGTGGGTGTGTGTATGTAGGTGTGGGTTTGGGAGTGGATGGGTGTGTGTGTGTGTGTGTGTTTGTGGGGGTGTGCTTGGGAGTGGGTAGGTAGGAGTGTGGTGAGTTGGGGGTGTTAATGTGGGGTAGGTAGAGGTGGGAGTGGGGGTGTAGTTATATTTTAGAAAAATTTTTGAAATTAAAAAAATGTGGAAAACAATGATTATCAGTTTTCCAAAAATTTCAACTTCTTTGTAATTTTAGAAAACATAAAATTTTCATTTTCCGTGAAAGTTTTAGAAAAATAGACGAACTAAACGCGTTTTCAAAATTCTCATTTTTCTTGAAATTTTTTTCCGGAAAACGGCCCATTTTTCCGCAACTAAACGCACCTAAGTTTCTCCAAAAAGTTATTTATATATAACTAGCTGTTTAACCGCGCCAAACGACGGATGCGTATAGTTTCTTTCGGCAATTATTTCTATTAGGAAACATGTATGATCGGACACTTAATTTTGATACGAAGGTAATTAAAAAGTAACCCCTAATAGTAAAATCTAATTTGTTTTTGTAGACGTAACTTTTAAATTGGAATCTAACCCATTTAGGTAGATTATTTTGGGTTTAAAACAAAAATATAATATTGCCTTAGTTAAAAAGAATAAGTTGTGTGAAAATAAATTTTGTTTTTTTGAAGATGTTAATTTTCATTTGTGATGAATATTGCTTTTAAATTTTGAATGAGTTGACTAAGTCAACCTAAAACAACATACATTCATTTTTGTTTTTTTCCTTTACATTTCCAAATGAGTAAGAACTCATTTTACCATGTTCGCCTTCAATCATGCTTCTACCTCTTAATTTTCAAGAAACAGAGAATATGTTTAATAATATCTATATATATGATATACTCACCAATTTCGCGATACCCTTTTAGAAAAAGAAAATTCATATTACAAATATTGTTCATTGCAAACTTCACTCTGCCTATTGTGAAATTAGTTTTCGTATTAGGAAAATGTTCATATTTTTTCAAAAGAAGTGATTTCTTATAAAGAAAACAAGTTTTTGGAACTTTTTTTTTTGTTGTTGTCATATTTAAAGCCTACTTTCACACAAAAAATAGTTTTATTTTGATGGAAAAGAAAGTTTTATGTTTAAAGAATTTTAGAAAAATACGGTGTAAAATTAAGAAGGTAAATATATCTTATATATAAGAGCAATTTACAAACCGTAATGGCTAAATTGGCACGTCTAACACCGTTATGACGGGATGAACACCGCCTCCCTTCTGGTGTATCTCGTGGTCATTACGATGGCTAGCAATACGAGTTTGTGTCTGTTTTTGCCTGTTGCCTTGACTAACCGTTGACAAGTCAACGGTCAACTTTTATTTATTTATTTATTATTTTTTTAACCTTATTTTCTATCTATAAATACAACACATTTAATTTAATTTTTTACATAATTTTTTTCTTTCTCTCTACATTTTATGAAATTCGCCGCTTATCCAATTGAAAAAATAGAGCAAAACACAAACATTCTTCCACGTAACACAAACCCACAACCAAACATAGCCTCTCCTTTCAGATCTACGCAAATTATTTTAACCTATTATCCTCTCAAACTTCACCACAAATCTCATACAAAGGAACATCTTTCAATCTCACCCCACCTCCAATCCAATTTCCTTCTTCACCCTACATTCAACAAAATCTTTTTGGGCAAAACCCAAATTTACAACAAAACATTTTTCCGACTTTCTCTTCGATGCCACAAGTTCAAATAACCACCCAACCACCACTAACACAACCATCGGTCGAAATCGAGAACAAAACACAAGCGGGGTAGTAGGAGAATGAGAGGGAAAGGAAAAGGTATAACTATTGAAACGGAAAGTGAGGAAATTTAACAATGGTTGACACCAAATAAGAAATACGCTTTAGCAGTAGCATGGTGTGGGACTTCAAAAACAGAAGTCACGAAAATAGTATGAAGAAAGGTGCTTATTGGGAAGTAGTCTTCGTCAAATTCCACAATATCTTGAAGAAAAAAACCGTATTGCAATACCAATAACTTAGTTTCAAATGGAGTCAAAAAAGTAAGCGGTGCACAAAATTCAATGGTATTTACAACATGCTTCAGTCGTAACAGCAGAACGGAACCAATGACTTTGATTTGTTCAAATGCGCAAAAGAACAATATCAGGTCGAGACGGGACATGTGTTCGAGTTTGATACAACATACGAGTTGGTGCGAGTAGATCCAAAATAGATTAAAACTCCTACATCATCAGATGTTCAATTAAAGAGGTCTAGAAATTCGAGTTCGTTCGATGTTTCGGATGCACATACTCACATCGACCATCAACGCTGACACTGATGAGATTCATATGACATCGATGAGATCTCCCCATCACGACAATCGGCAGGACGCGACAAAGCATAACACGCTGCAAAACATGCGGAAGAACTTGAGATGAAAGAAAAAGATATGGCAGAAATGAAAACGAAGTTCGATAAGAACAATTTGATACAAAAAGAAAAAATGAGTTGAAATGTCATCACTTGGAGTTCCTTGAAAGGCAAGTGTGGGAGGAGAAGGAGCAACACGAGCAAGAACAAATGATGAACTAGTTGTCAATTGTTCGGGCTTGTAATGAGGGTTTGGCTCCCTGAGATCTCTGGAAGTGCTTCGAGCGATGAAGGTGAAGATTAGAACCACCTATTTGGGCAATTATAACTATGGTTATGTTAGGTTTAATTTAAATGTTATGTTTTTTTTTTAGTTTTTAAATAGGGAGAATTTCGTATACGCCCTTCCTAAACAGCTAAATATCGTATTTGCCCGGACTAAACTCTAAATATCGTATATGTCATTCCTAATGTTTTTTAATATCATATATACCTAAATCTATTTTTTTGGTATTTTTTATTGATTTATAATTGTTTTTCATAATATTAAATCATTATAAATAAAATACATCATGAATGGACAATAATACCCTTCCTCCTAATCTCCAATACAACACACGATTCACAGATTTATGGATCGATTTGCCAAAAATCGTTTTCCCCCATACCTTCTTAAATCACGATCGATCCTTCCCTTCCCTGAGGCTTCCGATCTTTGCATCAAATCGCTACATCTAATCGATCGCTGATTCCAGGTGGTGCTTCCCATGTTATCGCATGCACACACACATGCAGGTTGCAGCTTCCTTCCGTATCTAGCTTCCTTCTGATCGTAGCACAATTCCTTCTTCCCCCTATTGTCGCACACTCACATCATCGAATCAGGTACTAGCGACTTCAACATATACCTATTTTCCATCTCTTTAATTTCTTTTTTAGGGTTTTTAGTTTCAATTGTTCAAATTCTTTTTACAATCCGCTTTGTTATGTTGTATTTGATAGCTCAGTTATGTTGTATTTCAGGTACAATCAGTTTCAGTGAACTAAGACCTTCTAATTTCGCCTATGATCTTCAGCCTCATGAGATTAGGAGCTTGGTGATTGATCTTATTCAAAAGCATCGCATTCAACACTTGTGATTCCAGAGATACAGTCAACTACAAGCAGCAAGGTAATCAGGTTTTCATTCTTTTTTTTTAAATTGATTAAATAGATTGAAATGGTATATGTGTAAATAGTGTACCGAACACCAGCATTATAATTTTATAATTTTATATGTTGTTTGCAGTGTCCACTTTAAGAGTTTTGCTTACCTCTACAATGAAGATCAGTTCATGGCAACGTTAGCAAATGATATCTCAACTATGAAAACCCTTCCCAAAACCATAAAAGGAGCCATAAGAAAGAAAGAAATCCCTTCATTTAAAGTGTTTAACTCACAATCTCCATACTATTATTTACATCATTTTCTTCCGGCTCTCATACGCCACTTTGTAGATGAACTAGTTATTGCGGATGGTGGATGCTTACAGGTAAATACATTGTTGACCCGGGTTGTACTGTATCATGGTTGTGCTGAGATTTTTTAGGTACTTAATTAAATTATTCCAACTATATCTTTTTTTGATGGATTATGTGTGAATATGAAGGATGTACATGGAATTATCAAAGGCAATATTACTGTGGATTCACACACAATGTCCGAATGGTTCATGGGACACAATAATCAACATATCTGGAGGAGAAGTCTTCGGTGGCCAAAAGAAACTTATCTTGTTTCATGCAATCTTTGAAAATGTAGTGGATAGGACATGAAGCGTGAAGCGAATCTTTAAGAAATAGCATTGTACTTTGAGAAATGTATGATATATAACATTGAACTTTCAAAATTTTGTTATGTTAATAACAGTAGCTATATTTTTTTTATCTTTGTTTGTTTTAATTGTAATATATACAATTTTGGTCCTTAAAGCATATATTTGGAATTAGTTACATTTTGGTCCCTGAACTTTAAATTTGCACCATATATACCAATTTGACAACAAATGCAAATCCATGAAAGAAAAACTAAAACAAAATATTTATTTATGTCACATACTAACAAAAAAATCCATCATTTGAACCCTAACTAAGAATATTTTCAACTTAAGCTAACAAAATTTTTCTAAAGGACCAACTAATTTAATGAGACTTTTTAATGTAGAACCCGAAACTCCCGAACCACCATGCGATTTTGTATCCTTTCCACGTAACCTTTTAGATGTGGATGTTTCACTTTGATCGAAACTTTGAGATGCTAGATTTTTACATGTCCTTTCACGGTGTCCATACTATCCACATCGCGAACACTTGTGTCTTCTTTTATACTCATCCGATGATTTTATTCTATTTTTCATTGGTTGTCCAGGTGGGCGTTTGATAATATGTGGATATATTTTCTCTCCATTCTTTTGTGCCCATTGATCCTGTCCGGGCATCGGAGCAATTTGAAAAGCATATGCGGCTTTAAAGTTCTCTATAGTGAAATATGGATCAACATATTTTTCCCGGTTAGCATCCCTTATATAAGCAATAAAAGTCGCTGCATGTACACATGGTCGGCCCTGAACTTGTCACACTCGACAACTGCATTTTCTTTCATCTAGGTTGACCTCCCAACGTGTTGCCTTGTACTTCACTTCAGCTTGATTCTCATAATTTCTAGTAACTTCATACTCTCCCAAGTTCTACATGAAAAATTATATATATATATATATATATATATATATATATATATATATATATATATATATATATATATGTATGTATGTATGTATGTATGTATGTATGTATGTATGTATGTATGTATGTATTATTGAAGTAAAAACTAAAATAAATATAATCATTCAACTGATTTATTTAACATGCTTACCTTAGCGATGTCATTGAGATGGTTTTTAGCAATAGGAACCAATGTGCCATTCCATGTATTCACCAAATTTCTTTTCTTATCAAACCGTTTCATAATTTGTTCCCTAACAGCATCAAGGAGATCAAGCACGGGTTTATAGTGCAATTTACCAATCCAAGAATTAAACGTTTCTGAAATATTATTAGTGATGTAATCACACTTGGAAGTAGTACCAAACTTGCTTCTACTCCATATTTTTTTTGTGATTGGTATTTAGATATGCAATGACATCTTCATTTTTATCACTAATTTCCTTCAATAATCTGTCATGCTTGGTAGAACGGTAGGTTTTGGCAGCAGCCCATAGTTTTTTGTTAAAGAAGTCCCCACGAAAGTGTTTCTTGAAGTTGCTATATAAGTGCCCCATACATTCTCTATGCTCAATGTGACAACCGTCAATTTTTGGCCAAGTCAAAGTCAACTAAAGTCAACAAGTCAAACCGGTCAACTCATCTAACCCTTGTACATTGGGGTTCCACTATATTTCTTATTGAACAACTCGCAATCTTAATATAACGTATCACTTAGAGTTTTCACGTGTTCGGAAATCCTAAACCCTAATTAGGGCAAGTGATGAATCTTCTCGATAAAACATTATTCCATACCCCTCGAGAGTGTATAACATTCATAACAAGGCTTAACAGAGTGTAAGAACCTTGCGTTGCGAAGCCAAACACTCAAAAAGGTCGCAAACAAAATCTCTCCAAGTATGTGAAATCTCTCCCAAATCTCTCTCTGTATGAGAAATCTCTCCAAGAATGTGAAATCTCTTCCAAATCTCTCTCTGTATTAGAAATCTCTCCAAGAATGTGAAATCTCTCCCAAATCTCTCTCTGTATGAGAAATCTCTCCAAGAATGTGAAATCTCTCTCAAATCTCTCCAAGTATGTGTGATCTCTCCCAAATCTCTCTCAAAAAGTTCCTTTAACTTTTTATAATCATTTCGGGCATCCCGACACTTAACTTGGTGAAAAACGGCGCAAAACGGGAAGAATTCTTGAAAAATAGCCTGAACAAATTGAAACCCTCCTTTAAGGATCGAAGCCTCTCGGACCGAAAGTGCTTAGAACCGAACTGAGTCGGACCGAACCCGAAGCTGCCTGCGAACCGAACCCGAAGGTCCCTTCGGACCGAACCTTCCGAACCGAAACCATTAGGACCGAACCGAAGTCTGATGATCCGAACCCGAAGTTCGCTTCCGCTCCTGACCTTCCCCTTCGGGCCCAGCAGCAACAAGGACTGAACTTCGGCCCTATCTGAGGAGCTTCGCAGGAAGCCTTTTTCTTCCCGGTTTTTCGACTAGTTTTGCGTTCTAAGCCCGATTTTAATTATTTTAACGTGGGGTTTTCACCCAAAATCATATTTTAACATATAGAACCCCTTATTTCATAATTAATCACGTTTTTTAGTGTAAATCTTATCCAAGAAGAGTGGGTGAAGTACTTGAGGTGGAGTGTTGACTTTACTTTATTTTATGATACAAGCAACCACCCACACCCACTCCATGACCAGCCCACAACCCCCCCCCCCCCACCATACCTGGTCATTCATAGTCCTTTTCCCATCATTTCCCAACCTCATTCCTTGTCTAAGGCTGAAATCTATCATCTTTCCTAACACTTTCTCTCATTATCTCATTCTTCCACCAAAGATCAAACACATTTTCTCTCTAAATTCTCTCACTAAAATTCGAGATTCAAGGGCTTTCTTCCAAGCTTTTCTTTCACTTTTGGTAAGTATATTCATCCTCCATATAATTATTTCACTTCCTTCTACTCCAATCATAGTTTTTCTTACACAAACTCCATCATATTTGTGTTAGATTCTCGAAATCTTCAAGGAATCTTCTTAGTGTTCTTGAGTATTACACTTCTTTTCTTCCACATCCATCCGCTAAGAACACACAAGGTGAGTTCATACCCCTACATTTTCATGTTTTCTTCAAGTTTTAAGGGGGGGGGGGTGGGAATACAAGTTAAAACACCAAAAACTTAACTAAACTCAAACAACAGCTTTCATCAGAAAATTTGAGTCTTATTCACGGACTGTTTTGACTATCTTAAAGTTAATATCTTTCAAAACTGTTTAATATGCAAATAGTTCAGATTCATACCTTTAAAATGACTATTTGCACATCTCCATACGATTTTTCTACGATTTATGGTGATTTTTACAAAACTGCCTATCATTTGAGAAATAAATTCCAACCAGTCTGTGAATATCAACATTTTAACACAAGTTAAAGACTTCTAAAAATCATAATAAAAATTATGAATAAACTAGACACATTTTATGAACTCTCAGAATTTACGGATTCAGTTTTCGACTTCGTATGATTTTTCTATGATTTTTCTAAAACAGTGTAGAAAGGTAAAAATCTAGATAACAGCTTATAACTTTCATCACACTTTGTAACTTGTTGAGCAAAGTGTTAATCTTTGAAGATTTCATATTTTATATGTGTTTCTTGTTGTGGTATAATTATATAACATAAAATACTCACTGAATTGTAAGAATCCTCCATTATTACCATTAGTACAAAAATAAGGCATGATAACACATAGTTATATTTTTGCTATACATTCGACTTACATAGAAAAGGGTCCTTATACATCACAAACAAACGTGCTAGAACTATAATATGTATAGTTTATGTTCACTACCACTACCACTATTTGATAAACTATAATATGCATAATTCATGTTCACTGTCACTACCACTATTTAGTGAATTATGATATGTATAGTTTATGTTCACTACCACTACCACTATTTGATAAACTATAATATGCATAATTCATGTTCATTATCACTACCACTATTTGGTGAATTATGATATGTATAGTTTATGTTCACTACCACTACCACTATTTGATAAACTATAATATGCATAATTCATGTTCACTATCACTCCCACTATTTGGTGAATTATGATATGTATAGTTTATGTCCACTACCACTACTTGATGAATTATGATAAGCATAGTCTCGGTCTTTGGTTTTTAAGACTGCATTCTATCTAGAATTGTTAGTTTTCAGCCATAATTACTAAGTGTATATGCTAGAGTTATATAGAATTTAGTCGTGATCGACTTAGAATTGGTGGGTCCGCTTTATTTCCTGTTCCTTGTTTGGTTGTGGGCCTAGGGCAGACCCATTACATTCGACGGTCTATTTAACTTAAATTTTATATAACTTATATACACTTAGAGATTATAGAAGGAAACTATAGGAAATTCTAGGATGCACTATTTATTAATATAGAAACTTACGATTCACTCTTTAAGGAAAATATCGGATTTTCTTTGGAAACATATTCCTACTAAAACTACATTACGTCTAGAATTGTTAGGCTTCAGCTATAACTGCGAAGTGTATATGCTAGAGTTATATAAGAATCCAGTCACAATCGACTTAGAATTGGTGGGCCCGCCTTATCTCCTGTTCCTTGTTTGGTTGTGGACCTAGGGCAGACCCATTATATTCAACGGTTTATTTAACTTAAATTTATATAACTTATATATGATGGGTAATTATAGAAGGAACCTACAGGTCTTTCTAGGGTTCATTATCGCATAACATAGGAGCTTTCATTTCACACTTAATTAAGAAAATATTGGATTTTCTGGAAACATACTCTGTCACTTTTTCAAGGAAAACGGTTTCTTTCTCAAACAAAACTCTTATGAACTCACCAACTTAATTGTTGACACTTTTCAAAACTACTTGTATTCTCAGGAAATCAGTGAAACAGGAAAACATCAGCACTTTGAGGATGGGACGTTAAATCGTCAAACAGTTTATTTTGTCATCATAATGTAATTAATTTTGAAACATGTAAAC